GCACTGTGGGGCCAAACATGCAGTTCAGGACCCACCAAAAAGAAAGGACCCCGGCAAAAACGGCCTCTCAGTAAGGGCAAGCTGGAAACACCCAGGCCCCACAAAACGGAAGCTCAGTGTCATCAGCGTGCTTCCTGAATGCTCTCAGGGGACCTGCCTTGACTTCCATGCCTGCCAGAAGATGGTAAAGCACATCCTCTCCAGAGTGAGACAACTCCAGGCAAAGTCTCCACAAAAAAATGACTGCCACTGGAAAACAACAAAACACCAATGATGAGGCCACCAAACAACAAGACTAAACAACCCCAAACCAAACGTGAGGGACCAGACCACTCACACAGACCTACAAAAGACACAGATACTGCAATTATCACATAATTCTGTGTAACTTTGTGATGAATATGTTTAAGAAATTAGATGACAAAATAATTTCAGCAGTAAACTTGAAATTATAAAAGAATGAAAACTCTAGAATCAAAAACAAACCAGGATGAAAATTCGAAACTCAAATATAAGAAATACAGGTCTAACAACAGATTAGGAAGAGCTGAAAGGATGATTAGTAACTTGAAAGGCAGTTTAGAAGAACACATCTAGGCTGATGCACACTCAAGAACAAAAAAACAAAAACAAAAACAAAAAAACAGGATGAGAAATACAGAAAGGAGCAGATGCATGAAGAACATGGTGCATGGTGAGAAGGACCAACATATGACCGACTGGAACCAGAAAGAGCAGAGAGAAAACATGGCAAGAGGAATACAGACACACTGTGGGAGGTAAAGACAGACAGAAAATGTGGCAAGAGCGATACAGACACACTTTGGGAGGCTGAGGCGGGCAGATCACCTCAGGTCAGGAGTTTGAGACTAGCCTGGCCAACATGATGAAAACTTGTCTCTACTAAAAACACAAAAAATTAGCTGGACATAGTGGCGCATGCCTGTAGTCAGGAGGCTGAGGCAGCAGAATCGCTTGAACGTGGAAGGTAGAGGTTGCAATGAGCTGAGATCGCGCCACTGCACTCCAGCCTGGGTGACAGAGTGAGATTCTGTCTCAAAAAAAACAAAAAAGTGATACAGACAATGAACACCAGCCAAAGGCTCAAAGAGTTATAGATACGAACCTCAGGCCAAGTGAGCACAGATGCACATGCACACCTACTCACACAACACACACCCCAGAGAGTATAAACGCATATGAACCTCAGGCCAAGCAAGCACAGACGCACATGCACACCTACTTACACAACACACACCCCAGAGAGTATAAATGCATGAAACCAAGTCAGAAAAATCTCTTTAAAAAAGAAGGAGAAAAAAGCTGTCAAAGAAATAAGAAGTATCTTCTGAAGAGGAACTATCATTAGAAACACAAAAGCCAGAAGTATAAAATAGCAAAGTTTGAAAGCACTGAAAGAAAATATTGGCAATTTAAAACTCAATACCAAATGAAACCAACCTGCAGGAATGAAGACAGCCTTTCTTCCTTCAAGTTCAAATGGAAAGCTGTTCTGCAGGACTGGAGAATACCTGCACCTGCCTGGGTGGCAGGGATTAGGGACGCCATAGTAGCAGAGACAGGAGACTAAGTTACGCCCTGCGGAATTCCGGCAGGTAAATACACTGAGATCACGGGGGCTGGGTTTCTCATCATCTGAGAAGGATATGGATGAGGAGAGCACTAAAATGAACCTTGTTGTGTTGCACTGGAACTGGAGACACTGGTGTGTATTCACGGTTTTCAACAAATAGAGAGAAACACAGAAACAAGTATAGATGTATCTGAATGAACAGGAATCTGCGAGTCCATAGTGATATATGGAGATCAGTGAATAAATAAATGGGGAGAAGGGAAAATATTTGCTTCTAGCAGGACACTACCTGGTCATATAGAAAGAACGACAGAAACAGAAAATTATAATTTGACAATCATCATAGTAATAATTTAGCCAAGAAAAATCAACGGATGCTAAAACTACTGAGTGAAAGTTTGATGAGGAAGAGGACATTTACATATTCTCAAAGTACTTCCCCTCAAAATACTAAATAATAAGAGTAAAAGATAACTTTATAGCGAAGACACCACCTTAACAAGTAACAAAGGTAACAAAAACAGTGGTGGGACAAATGGGAACCATATGCCAAATATCCCTCAAAACCAAATTGAGGGATATTCAGCAAGGTAACCGTTCTGTAGTCTTCAAAAATGTCAAGGTCTTGAATGCCAAGAAAAGCCTGAGGAACTGAACCAGATTCACAGAGACTAGCAGAGGAAACCATTCAATGCAAGCCATCACCCTGGATTGGCTGTTCTTGCTCAGAAGAACACGGCTAGGATAAATGACTGCTCATGAAGAGGGCCTGTGGATCAGACAGCAGTAGCGTGTGACGCTCATTTCCTGACTCTGACAGCTGTACTGGGGTTGTGGAGAACATTCTTGTTTGTGAGAATTACACATTCAAGCCATGATTCTCAAACCGGGCACTATATATTGACAGGAGGACTCACTCAAACACATTTCTGGGCCCCATCCCCTGTGTGTCTAATCCAGGAGGCCTGGACTGAAACCTGAGAACTTGCATTCCCAACAGCAGCTCAAACGATCCTGATGCAGACACCACCTTCTGCGAACCGTCACATTCACGTGTTTGAAGATAACAGAGCATTATGTTAATAATTTACCTTAAATGACTCAGGAAAAGTTATTTTTCCTTTTCTTTTTTTTTTTAAGTTTGGAACGTTCCAATTGAGGAATTTTTAAGTTTGGAACGTTCCAAACTTAAAAAAATAAATAAAATAGGTAAAAATGATGATCAAATAAAGACCATTTTAAATAGTAAGTGTGAGAATTTATTATTCGCAAAAAATTCTTCAGGCAGAAGACCAAGGATGCTACATCCAGGCGCAGCGCCCAGGGAAGGGGCGGGTGGCCGTGGGGCAAATGCACAGGCAGAGCTGCCGAGCACAGCTCAGAACAGTGGCAAACGTCTGTGGGGCTAACACGTGTGGAGAATTAAGATGACAGAGATCATGCAAAACACGAGAGTGGGTAATTCCGCTCTGGAACTGGAAAGCTAATTGATCTTCAACATCATTAAACCAAAGATAAATATTTTAATTATCAGGTTAGTCACAAAAAGCTATTAAAATGATAACTAGTAGGGAAATAGGTGGGGGTAAATGGAATAAAGAAAAAAACTCAAATCAAAAAAGAAAAAAATACATAGAACAGGTAGAAAAAAATATATAACAGTAAGATAAGCTATTTACAAACAGTAATTGCATTAAATGTGAATAAATATTCCAAATATTCAGACTAATAAAAATTTTTAAAATAACTGCAAATTACAAGGTAACCACATTGAATATAAAGACATAGAAAGGTTGAAATTAAAGGACATAGAAAAAGTTACATCATGCATATACTAACCAAAAGAAAGTTTCAGATGCTACATAAATATTGAATAAACTTTACAATAAAAACCACCACTAAAGGTAAAGAGGAAAATATCATAATGAAAAGGGTGACTCTACTAACAATGCAATTCTAAATTTGTATGCATCTAATAACACGGCCCTAAAACAAAAAAGAAACAAAATCTGACAGAACAGAAAGGAGACAGAACAGAAAGGAGGCACAAATCTACAGAGCGGCAGACTTTAACACATCTCCCATAGGAGAGGAAGGCCTTCAGGCACGGGACTGAGATCGTGGCTGCTTCTGCCTTACTGGAGAAGGACTGAGGGCAGAGACTAAACCCAAGGAGACCGGAGGGGAAGCTGTCGTACAAGCTCAGGTGGGAATGATGGCAGCCTGGATGTCAACAGGAAGAAGTGAAGCCACTTGTGAAACAGACTCAACAGGACCTGGCCACGCACAAAAGCAGACACGGGGAACCAACACCAAGTGTGGGTTTTCTGGCCTACATAAGAGCAGCAAGCAAGGCACCAGTTACAGCAATGATGCCAGGGAAGCAAATCCACAGAGCCCCACTCAAAGAGGGAGAAATGGCACATGCACTCACACGTATACAAGGACAGAAGAGGTGTGCACAGATTATTAACCGCCAGTGCCTCTGAGAGATATGTTTACGGTTTTATGTGTTTTCCCCAAATCCTCACACTGAATAAAACCACTTCCAAAACAATCCAAAAAATTTACTTAAAAGAAAATGCCAAGTACCTCGAGTAAGAAAGAAAGCAAGGGGATCTACTCAGACTTTCAGTGGGTTCTCCAGGCAATTTGCTGGTATCAACTCGGACAATCAGAGGAATGCAAAAAAATTTAGATTTCAACTCATCTACATGTTGAAGGCATAGCCTGGAGTTCTGATTTAATACAACTATTTCACATTTACCCATAACAAACCACAGCCACCACTGCCACAGATAAGGATCGTGCTCTTCCCAGTCCACTGACATCGGGATTCGCAGCGCAGGCTGCAACTCACCCGCCGGTTCCCAACAAAACTTACACATGCCTCTAACCAATGGAATCTTGCCACAACAAATAACTCACTAAGAAGGTATGACAATTGGATAAGAAGATCAATGACACAGTTGCCCCTACCAACTTCCACCCTCGCTGTCTGTCCCAAGCTCTGCCTGCCCTCCCTATGCCCTCCCATATGGCCTAAGGGCCTTCTGCAGGAATGGAACCCTCATTATTTACAGACAGAGTAAGCAAAGACCAAAAGTAACGCCTGACAGTAAAGAAAGTGACATAATAGCTGATGAACAGAGTGTTCCCCTATCAAGATAACATGCCTGATGACGAACATCTCTGCTCTGGGGCTGCCATCTGAGGACTTCACCAGCTTCCCATACAGTAATACGGGGAAAAGGGAGAATTATTTCAATGAAAAAGAGGCTCCTTCACTGAAACAAACAAAACACAACAACAACAACAAAAACTCCTTTCTGGAGAAGTGACTACAGTGTCCCCAGGTGCTGCAGACTCAACCCCCAGCCAGCTTTCTCCATTTCCACAGTCTTACCGCTCTGAATTGACGCAAGACACGGTCAGACTGATAAGCTCCAATGGTGATTTCCGGGAGATAGACAGGAATGCTTGTGTACTTCAGCACATCAAACTTATCCTGAACCCTAAAAAAATAAGACACATGTGGATCACACCAAACCATCAAAATAAATACAATAAAAGCAGCTTAAGTCTGTTTTTTTTTAAACATCCATATAAAAAATCTGTGCATTCCAATAAATGCTGTTCGTTGCCAAGCAGTCATCCCAGAAGCAAAGCCTTCCTACCAAAGACCACGTGGTCGATCTGGAGCTGCTTTTTAAAATTACTCTCAGAACCTCTGGTAGCATCTTTTAAAAGCCTCAGTACCTACAAATGATGACCTTCTGGGAACGGATGCCGTAGAAAAAGACATAGAAAAAGGAGACAAAGTATGCTTTAAACACAGGAATAGCAGGAATCAAAAGCTAGAAGCAAATGGTTATATGACAGTGCTACACACAAAGCATGCCCCCATTAACAATTTTCCAGATGAGTGGATCTTGGGGCAGGAACGGTGCGTAGCTTCAGTCTCTCTGCAGTTGCAGCCAGTGTCTTACAGATCTGTTCTGTACGCTGAGGCCGACATAGGATGGTCTGTCGTACCACGGCTTGTAAAAGGTTTAATTCTCCACTTTTCTTGGCACCAATAAATACACAAATCATAGGATAGTCTCTTAGCTTTATCATTTCATTGTGCTGAATGTTAAAATATTTATACTTTGTTACAATTTGCTTATTTTAAATTAAATATAGTCTGAATATAACCACTATACTTAAAGATAAAAAGCATTTCTTGAGCTTTCGGGAAAAAAAAAAAACAAAAAACATTAAAATAAAGTCTCTTTTCTTAAGGGCTCAAAACAAAGAAAATAATTATTTTCAACAGCCACATTCCCATTACTGAGTTATAAAAGCAGGAGACGTTTCTCATTTGTAATGGTTCAAATGGAAATTATGTGAGTGTATCTGGCTCTCGGCCAGACTTTGTGAGACAGTCCAGGCCCACTAAGCAAACCCAACGCCTATTCCCCACAGTACCCAGGTAGGCTCTCCCACAAACAGAACAACCTGACCAGAACCCAAGGCTCACAAGAGCCACAAATCATGCTTCCACAGACAGCCAGAGAGCTGCGGATCTGTGGCAAGCTGAAGATGAGTGGACGGTAGGTATAGCATCAGCAGCATCCTAGTAAAAACTGTATCACTCGTACATGGTTGGTGATCCAATAATGTAAACGTCCCCCCCTCCCAAGAAACTGCTGCCAGGATAACAACGATCGTTTGCTTTCCTAAGCGTATTTATGTGCGTTTCCACACGGGTAGGCACATGGCTGTAATGTACACACTTACAGATAAGATCATTTTCTTAGTTTTACTATTAAGTTGGTTTTACTTGCCAAAAGATACTCAAATATTTTTTTTAAAAAAGCAAGCGAAACAGAAAGCGTGTGAAGGGCATAAAGATGCCATATTTTGTAAGACTGCATTAATTGTAAGACTACAAGTTCCCTCTCCAGAGGAAACTGCTGCTAGCTTTCCTTATGCATTCTATCTAAACACTTCCATGCATGTGTCAATAATCTACAACTACGTATCTTCTTACTGTTAACTCAAATATAAGGATAACTTTTGAAGTGATCTCACAATAAGAAATTCCAACTAAAAATGAAGTTCATATTTTAAATGTTAACAAATATCAATGCAGGGAGGTGACATGGTTTTCTTTACAGTTTGAAAAACCTAAGAAAATGCTAGAAAATATGAAAGCAATCAGTGGCCTGGAGCATGTGTAGTAGAGAAAGCAACAGCGCCATCTATGCTTAGTTTGGCAACATTACATGTAGCCCCAGAAAATCTTTTAACAAGTACGCTTCCAACTATTTTTGAAGATTAAAAAAAGAATCTGCTGCAATGATTCTACAATTTATTTATACCTAACCAAACTACCCTTTCAATTTATTGCTATGAGCTTAATGACGACTACTAGAAAGAGTCTATGGTCTATCTCCAGTAAACTTCTCGATTTAAGTAATAAAGACACAAGGAATCATTTTATGACTCAGGAAGCAAAAGACAGTGAAAGAAAATATTCTCTTCACAAAGCACTTAGTTTCATTATGAAGAATTCAAAACTGATTGAGGATAACGTATCCTTTTAATAACATAAGTCAGTGTCTAAAGAAGAAGATAAAATATACTAGAGCTTGGTTACGATATGAGGTGTTCTGTCACATGTTTTAAAACAAAAGAGTAAGGCAGGAAGACACAAAAAGGAATAAAATTGTAAATTGTGTTTTATGACTCAAGCTGTTTCGCAATTAACAGAATGTCAGCACTTTGTCCTATAACATTTCCAAACCCTATTTTTCAGTTTCTCCTGAATTGCAAAGTTCTATCTGAAACACTGTACTTCTGATACCAAACTCACATGCTACAGTTTCTGTAGCACTGAAATTTCATGTTAAAAAGATGTGCTCCAGGAGTCATGTAAAATTCTTAGCAATCAAGCAAAAGAGGGTGGGTGTGAAGCTCTGGGCTCTGGATAGGCAGCGATGGTCTGCGAGGAGCCCGCACAGCTGGAGGCCTGACGTGTCGTCGGAGGTCCTGACTGGACCGAAACCAGCCCAGGCAGGCGCCAGTCAGTTAGGGATGTGGATATGAATAAGACTGAAAAATACAATTACTGCCTCTCAGCACAAGCATAGCTATACACATACACATAATTAGACACTGGCAACACGTAACTGAGATGGTGCAGAAATGTTCTAAACCAATAATTTGGTCAGGTTCTGGATAAAATGAATGTCACTGGTAAATGGCATGTTTACAATAATTATGTTAGAAAATTGGTCATAATTATCACTTGAGTCCCTCAATTGACAAATGGTACTCAAATGAAAATAAACACAATTGATATTGTAAACTTACGAAACATCTTTGGGGAGGAAGAAAGGCAAAATATCAGGAGAAAAAAGGACAAAACCATTCATAGTGAGCTAGATGAAAACAACTGAATGCTGTAATTGATACACTACGGGGGAATTACAGGATCCTTCTCTATGCTCTGATAAGTGCATAACTAAATAACTACACAAACGGTGCAGAATCGAATCAACACACATTTCACACCGTGTTTAGAAAATGACACTGTTACCACAGAGAGGTCAAGTCAGACAAAATCCCTTGTCTCGGTAAGTTTGTGAGATGTCATATGATGCCCAGCAGTAGCTAATACTAACAAACAAGGATACCATATACATTCACATAAGTAACAGTCTACAAGAGTTAAGGGAAAGTGTCAGGGAGAAAACACGGTGATTACAGCCAAGCTTTAAAGACCGCTAGGATTTCTAGGTGATTACTGGGCAGGTGGTGGTGGAAGAAAAGCCTGGGAGATTACCAGGTATCCCGGCAGAAGACGCAGAACCAGGGCAGACTGGGATTCTGAATTAATTCTGGGAAAGGAAATTCGGATCTATGACTAAACGAAGATAGGCCACGCAAAGATTCAAGTAAAGAGAAAACGGGGTCACTGTGACTTTTTAAAAAAATAAACCTGGTGGGAGTGGGATGAAGAAATAAAGAGGCAGAGGAACAGAGACCAAGAACCAGGGGATTACACCCCAAGGGGAGCAGAAGTGTTAGAGACATGGGAGAGAAATCACTGAAAGTGGCACACTGACCTGCAGGGTGTGACTTAGGGGAGGATTAGGATAAGGGGGTCAGCAGGGAAAAAGGAGGCTTCAAGCTAGGATTATGGTTGACGGAGGAGTCGAAGCTTCCACCAGGATTCAAGCCTGACCAGACGGCAGGAGGGAAGGCAAGACGGCCCAGGGCACAGGACGCGCACAGAGGATGCAGAGAGCAGCAGCTCCAGCTCCTGCAGCCCGAGAGGTCAGACGTCCCACACACAGTCATGCAACCTTGGCAGGCTCGAGCTCTCCGAGCTGTGGTCTCCTCCTTGTAAAATGAGGGAGTCCCGCCCCACAGGAGTGCTGTGGGACAAATTATTTCCGAAACACCTTCCAGACGCTGTGTTGACATCTACTATTAACTATGAGATTTCAGATGTAACAGCAGAACACAGTTCAGCGGGGTCCCATCCCCAACCTCCGGGCCACAAACCTCTGCCTGTAAGGAACCTGGCCACGCAGCAGGAGGTGAGCGGCAGCTGAGTGAGCAAGCCAGCGAAGCTTCATCTGTATTTATAGCCGATTCCCCTCACTCGCATTACTGCCTGAGCTCTGCCTGCTGTCAGACCAGTGTGCCATGAGATTCTCACGGGAGCACAAACCCTATTGTGAACTGTGCATACAAAGGATCTAAGTTGTGCGCTCCTTATGAGAATCCAATGCCTGATGATCTCTCACTGTCTCCCATCACCCCCAGATGGGACCGTCTGGTTGTAGGAAAACAAGCTGGGGCTCCCACTGATTCTACATCATGGTGAGTTGTATAATTATTTCATTATATATAACAATGTAATAATAAGAGAAATAAAGTGCACAATAAATGTAATGCACTTGAATCATCCTGAAACCATCCCCCCACCCCCGCTCCAGTCTGTGAAAAAACTGTCTTCCATGAAATGAAACTGGTCCCTGGTGCCAAAAAGGTTGGGGACTGCTGCAATAGAGCAGTTAAAAGAGAAGATGGAGTTTTTTTAAAGCAAAGTTTTGAATAACAGAGTATATCATTTAGGCAAATTTACAAACACACATACAAATATAGGCATCTAGTCCAAAATGTTACCAGTTTTAAAAAACAAAGACGGAACTTCCAGCTTCAGCTCCAAATGGTGAAGGCTGGAAGCTGTAACTTCCACCCTTCCAATAAGAAAAAACTGAAAATCAATGGCCTTTCTTGGACTAACAACAACAACAACGAATTGAGTGATTTTGCAGCTTACAAAAAGTGGAAGAGTCCGAGTGCAGTGACTCACGCCTGTAATCCCAGCACTTCGGGAAGCTGAGGCAGGCGGATCACTTGAGGTTAGGAGTTTGTGACCAGCTGGCCAAAACGGCAAAACCCCATCCCTACTAAAAATACAAAAATGAGCCAGGTATGGTGGTGCACGCCTGTA